ACACACAAAGCAAATCCCATCTTCACACATAAAATAATGAGCTTTCACCTGACTCCAGGGTGAAATCACCACTCTGGGGTAGAATCTTGGGGTTACAATACCTAGTTCCAAGAATACATTGCTTCAATGCTTGGGGAACAAGGGTGTGTCAAAAAGGAAATCACATATTAGGAGAGGTACAGGACAAAACAAACATCACTATGTCAGTGGAGAAATCCATGGTATAAAAATGGAACTGTGTGCAGTTCTAGATCTCTCCTCTCCAAAAGGATATATTAAAAACCAGGAAAAGCTCACAGAAGGACAACATGAAAAGTGTGGAATAGCTTCCATAGGAGCACAGACTGCATAGCTGCTCAGTTGTGGTAAGCAACTGATTTAGCAGATACATACGGGAAGCATACAAACAGCTGGGTACCAAGAGGATGGATAGGGATGAAGTCTTTACTATCCCTTGTTTTGAAATGTAAGGGCCAAGGATCATCCAATCAAGTCAGAAGGAGGCAGTTTAAAAGAAACCAAAACTTTGATCTTCATACAACAGGTAGCACACATGAAACTCTGGGAAGAGGTTGAACATATTCAAGGGAAGATGAGAAATACTTGGGAAAAAAATCCATTGAGAGTCATTAAATAGCAAAACCACTCAGGGTTAAGAAATCGCCTGAGCTGAAAATAGTTGGAGGATGAGTATCATATATGCTTCCCTTGCTTTACTCTTTCCTACGTGTCCACTTACAGGAACTGTTGCAGACAGGATAAGGTACAAGACTGATCCTTGATCCAAACCATTGCAGTTGTAGAGTGCTAAATCCAAATCCAGTTTAATTCTATGTATTTGTTTTTATATAATATCAATACAAAAAATCACTAAATGATTCCTGTTGTGCTTTCACAAGTGAATGGTTTGGCCATGTATTATACAGTTTGTTTTATGTAGAGTTCTAAAATTTGGCTTATGAGCTCAACAGAGATACTAATGATTTCAGAAGAGATGTGAAGGTAAAAACACAAAGTGGCTTTTGCTGGGGGTGGGAGAGGGTGTCCTCAGTTTTTAAGTGCAGGAACATTCTGAAAGACAGAATCAATTTTTTAAATCAATCATTTCTAAAGCTAATTAAAAACCTTACTGTTGTAAGCAGGTAGGAGCATTTGTGTATAAGGTGAAAATGCATTTAAACTGCTGTAATACAAGATTCTGACTTCTGCTAAGCAGAATGAAGTAACTTCAGATGGTGCAAACAGCTGACTTCGTTGATTCTGCCTTCTTTGCAAACACAACATTCTGAGACAATGTCTACATGAGCAAGCTTTCTGGTGTGACAGAAACAGACAAATATACTGGAGCACTGAAGCCCCTGTACTTACACAACATGCAGCTCAGTGCTTTTACTTTGGGCTAACCGTTGTCTAGGCTCTGCAACAGAACACACCCACGTACAGGGTTTGAAGCTGCCCAAATGACCAACCTCTCGTTTGGATCCCTGTTCCTCCATTTGGACACAGAGTGTGCTGGGCATGCAGCTGGAGCTCACTTTCTGGTTTCATTTCCTCTAAAAGGAATCTAGATCTGAACCAGTGGGCTGCAAGGCATGACTGTGAACTGAAAGAAAGGAAAGTGTTAATAGTTTCTCGGTTGTTCCCTTCAGCTTTTATTATGAGCAGAAGTTCTGCAAGAGAAAGGAAAGGAGATTTGTGCTCATCAGCTGTGTGAAGAGGTCAAATCACCAGCTGACAGGCACTGGCACTAAGAGAGGAGTTAATGGAGTTTTAATGAGTGAGGCCAGCCAATAATCACACATCTACCTGGCTTCTGAACTGCCTTTATGATAGGAATGTAATTTTAAGCCATCTCATTCTGAAAGATCTGAAAATTTGCACATTCTCATTGAGGATAATACTAGTTGTCAAATTTGTAATTAATTCAAAATAACAGGATTTCACAGATTAAGAACATTTGCATTTTTCCCATTCAAATGCCCAATTATCTATCATCTGTGCTGAAAAAAATCAACTGGCGATTGAGCTTAAAACCCCTTTTGTTAGAAACAGAATCAGAGACCTGTCTTCATTAGTATTAGCAAAGTGCTTTAAGTCTTATCAGAAAAGGATGGTAGCAATAGAAGTGCTTAGTAAGATGAGAGATGACTAACACATCAATCTTTTCCTTAAACTCAGACCAGTGCACAACGATAATCATCTTTTCTAAATGCAGGGGCACAGATGTTTTGCTTATATAAATTATACTTAGGGAGCTGAGTATTGCATTCATACTAAACTCTCAATTCAACTGTTCATGTACACAATACTGCAAAATAGCTGCTAGGATCAAGAGAATGAATTACAAATAAATGCCCACTGAAATAAGAAGGAAGTTTACCATATAAACACTCTAATAGCTAACCTGACTTTTCCCTAGTAGAACATTTCTACTATAGGAATTTAACCCATGGACACACATAATTAGCTCTTTCACCTTAAAGTTGCTGAAAGAATGATTTGCTTAAGGAGATTAGTCCTTTTAGTGTTCAATAGAAGTACTGACAAATGAGCCTAAAAATTATCATAGGGGAACTCTTCTAACACCATCTTCTGATCTTTTATTTAAAATCAGATGCCTTTCAGTCAAAAACCTTTTAATCTGACCTTTTGTGTTTTTCCAAATCAAAGCTCAACTTTTAATACTTTCTGTATTCAAATCTTGTATGTGATGAGATGGTTTTCAAGGCTGTTTTGAGCCACGTCAAAAATGACAATAGTCTCTTTAAATAGAACTTCAGTGCTAATGTATTTCTTCTGGTCATTTTAACTGCATGGATTTTCCTGTCTGCACCAGAGCACTTTAGCATGTCCGTGGTGACAGGACAACACTTTTTGAGCTGTGCTGTACCAAAACACCACCATATAAAAGCTAAATTTTGAATTGCTTATACAGACTTACAGAGTAATCCTCTTATTTAAGGCAGTGAATTATCTGGATCCTTCATTGCTACAGTTTTATACAAGCATTGAAATAATGTGAATTATATTTCTATATTTCTATTTTTCCTATTCGTACAATTCTAGGTCTATTTATCAGCCTTGGGAGATTTATCTTACTCAGCTGTTAGCAACAACTGAAAGACTGATGCCATAAACAGAGTTCAATTTATATTACGAATTCTCGCTCAGTAAAAATGAGTAGACTTTTCCATTTTAGTTTTAAGTCATACTGCCATCTACAGATTGAATAAACACTTGCAATACTTTGCTCTAGGGATAACAGGGTAATCCAGGTTGGAAGAGGCCTCTGGTCTCTAGTCCAACTGCCTCCACAAAGCAGGGTTGCCCCTGAGCTCAGACCAGGTTGCTCAGAGCTTTATCCCCCTGGGTCTTGGAAACCTCCTCAAGTGGAGACTGCACAGCTTCTGGGCAGCCTGTTCCACTGCCTGACTCTCCTCACCGGGCAAAAGTATTTCCTTTTAACCAGTCTGAATCTCTCATTTCAATTTATGCTCATTGCCTCTTGTTCTCCTGCAGTGCACCACTATGAAGAGCCTGGCTCCACCTTGCTAACCTCCCCATAGGTACTGGGGAGCTGCTGTTGGTTGCCCACTCAGGCTGTCTCTTCTCCAGGTTGAAGAGGCCCAGTTCCTTCAGCATCTCCTCAAATGGCAAGTGCTCCAGTACCCAAATAGCTTGGAGGCCGTTTGCTGAATCCGCTCCATTTTTTTGATGTCTTTCTTGTGCTGGGGATCAAAACTGGATGTGGAACTTAAATGGGGTCCAACAAGTGCTGAAAAATGAGACATAATCCCTTTCCTTGATCTACTGGCTGTGTCCCTGCTAACACAACCCAGGAGGCTGCTGGTCATCCTTGCTGCCAAGGCACACAGCTAGCCCATGTTCAGCTGCCCACCAGGCCCCCAGGGCCATTCCTGCAGAGCTGCTCCCCAGCCTGTCCCTCCCAAGCCTGGGCTGCTGCAGGCTTGCTTCCTTCCCAGGGGCAGCACTTTGCGTTTGTCCTTGCTGAATGTCTTAAGGCTGGCCTGTTCCTCCAGCATGCCTAGGTTGCCCTGAATGGCAGCTTGATCCTCCAGAGTATCCATTTGTTCCCTTAATTTGGTGTTGTCTGCAGATTGCATGAGGGTGAATTCCATCCCCTCCTCCAGGGCACTGACAAAGACATTAAACAGGATGGGGCCCAGGAGAGACCCCAGTGGTACTGCAGGTAGGGTATGACATATTAACCACTACCCTCTGATCCTCATCATCCAATCACTCTTTTACCCGTCTAGTTGTTCACCCATTCAGACCATAATGTCCTAACTTGGTTTCAAGAATATTGTAGGACAGTGCCAAACGCCTTGCTAAAGTCAAGGTAAATGACATTTTCTGCTCTCCCCTTTTCCACAAATCCACTCATTTTATCACAGTTAACTGCTTTTCTTTAATTAAGAAAAAAATATAAAAGCTTTTTTTCCAGTGATGGTTCCATTAACATTCTTTTGCTACCATAAGGCTTCACAGTAATAGGAATAGAGTCTGCATCCTGTAAACAATAAAACAGGGTTTTGGGTTTATTATAAATGGTTTTGCAGTTATGTTAATTACTCACCTCATCTTGATGAGCTTACTTGAATAGGCACTAACAGCTATGCACTACTTAATCCTGGAATCCTTAGCATTAACTTAAGTTGGGGGATTCATCAAACGTCTGATAAAGTATCAGATGACTTATCACTGTTGACTCAGGACTTTTACCTTTTAACACTTAGTGCCTGAACACAACAAAAATACAATATATTTAGTGATCCTCGGTACAGCAACTTTTCAGTTAGATACCTGTAGGCTGCAAATTTGCAACATTATTGCTTGAACAGCATTTAGTATGAACCCTTTTTAAAAACAATGATTATGAAATAAAAGATAAATTTGCTGGAAACATTTTTCCAGGATTTAACTTTGCAAATCAGATGTCTATGCAAACATGAAATTCATGCTTGCAGCCCATGGCTTCTTTCAGTTCTGTTAGACCTGCCTGGCATAACACAGTCTTACTCCAATGCATCCGAGGGTTTGCATTTAGAGTTTGGAATATTTTTGCAACATTCCAAAGGATGTTGGTGGGTTTTTTCCTAATCAGTATGAATCTCAATCTACAAATTTTTCCTATTCCTGGCTTGAAACTGTCATTCTCCCTTATTTTCTTGGCATTATACATAAAATATCACCATTGTATAATATTCCTGCAATCTTTCATTAACTGGAATCTTAAAAGTCACATTTCATTATTTCTCTCAGACAGACTGTTGCATAACACGAAGGATCAAGGTCAAACGATACATGAAGCGAGACTTTTGATTCATTCAGATGGTTGTCTTCAGTTTGGATTCCTTTTTCACTACCTTCCAAAAAATATGACAGATTTTGAACATTTTTCAGAATGGGTCTGTAGCATCCAGGTATATTCAGCTGTAATGGAGACACTCTGAATTTGCACATCTGCAGCTCATCCTTAGAAAGCCTTTCATGGTACCATTGCCCAACTTTATTACTGGGATACTTGATGCTATGGCCCACCATTGGAAGAACCACCTTCAAAGAAAAAAAACAAAACAACAAATATTTTTTAAATAAAGCCCACCGATTCCCCTTTAAATAAATGTGATTAAAATTTTAAATGTGTCTAAATCTTGTGTTTTGGGGCCTGAAATAGTAAAACAGCAGGTTCTCTTGTGAAAGAAAGCTATGCAAGGCAGGTATCTTGGATGTAATTACAGCAGAAAAAATAATCAATGTATCAGGATTCCTAAAAGAAACTAGAAATACACTAACATGAATTTCCATGCTTGTTGGGAAAGATAAAGCAATAAAGACGTTAAGTTGCTTATGTAAAACTTCACAACTATGCACTCTGAACCTTCAAAAATTAGAATGTCAACTGCTCTTGAATGTTTTTCCCAGTAGACTGAAAAAATTTTCAAAGTATTTACATTCAGCTTCAAGATAAATATTGCCATACTGCAAATGACACTGTACTTATTTCCATTACAAAGTAAATATTCTTTCCTCCTGTTTGTTATGAGAGTGGAGATTAGTTCACATGTGTTTTCTTTAATGTGCATTCTGGCAAGGAAGAAGATGTATTTAAAAATCACAGTATTTTTAAAACAAAACATTTTAATCAAATAAAGAGATCAACAACTCAGAATTTTTCATACAGACTTACTTGGTTTATAGAGTATTTGTTAGCTGACTCTTCTGGAGCAGTGACTACATGAACCTGACAAGACATTTAAGAAGTTAAGAAAAAAAAAACTTTTCAAAAATAAAACATACACTTTATTTTAGGAATTATGCACTCTACTCCCAAACTCATAAAGGATTCTAAGGTCATTTGACTACTACAAGGACAATAATCTATTTCACATATGAAAAATAGTAGAGATGCTTAATAGAAAGTAATCTGTCTACTGGTAGATGGCATTGCATTAAATATTTACTGATGCTAGCTGCCACTAATTAGCAAACTATCACTCCAAACTCATATTCTTTGAGTTTGAAGTTAACTGTGCCAATGCAATCTTGTGCTACACCAGCAAAAGCAAAAATAATAGGAAAAATATTTTATTATTATATAGGAGTATATCTATATTAAACTCAGTAACTCAATACTGAATTTAATACCTCTGCTTTGTATTTTATTTGATCTACTTGTTTTATTAACATTCACTCTCAAAAATATTGTTGAAGAAAAATCGCAATGGAAACAGAAGCCACTCTACAGGGACTGGAGGTTATTCAGTAACCTTTCAAATGCTCTTGCTTTCAAATTTGTAAGATGTTCACCCAAAAGAAATGAGATACATTCTGCCTATGCACACAATTGTTTATTATCCAGTAAAACACTGCAAAATTCTATACTTTATCTGATGATCAGGAGAAAGATAGAATCATAGAATCATTTAGGTTGGAAAAGACGCTTAAGCTCAAGTCCAGCTGTAAACCTAACACTGCCAAGTCCACCACTAAACCATGTCCCTAAATGCCACATACCTCCAGGGATGGTGACTCCACCACTTCCCCGGGCAGCCTGTTCCAATGCTTGATAGCCCTTTCAGTGAAGAAATGTTTCCTAATATCCAATCTAAACCTCCCCTGGCACAACCTGAGGCTGTTTCCTCTTGTCCTATCACTTGCGACTTGGGGAAGAGACCCAACTGCTTCCGCAATAAGAAAAAGGTATGCTAACCCTGAAAGAAGAGATGGCTTCAGAATGGACTTCAGCATGGCAAGACCTGGGACGAGACACTGCTCTGCTGGCTTCTGCTCATTCGCTCACCCATGGCTCCACACACAGCTCCCAGGCTCTGCAGGCCAGCGGAAGCACTCCCTTGCCCTTTACTACTTTCCCAAGAAGACTGCTGCATTTTTTGAACAGTTGCTAACAGTTTAGACCCACCATCAATCTGTTTTAATTGCCTGAGTAAGTGAAATTGTGCTACACATGCTTTGACTGTGTAGCTGCAATGAGATTACCAGTTCAGCCTGAGGCCACCTTTCACCATGGGCTTACATTCATTAATATATATAATGGGAAAGTCTGACCCAGAGAGCAAGACTCAGATCTGCGCTGACTGATAATATAGGCACACCCAGAGTCCAGTCTGAAGGTTTTCCCCAGTCAGATCCTAAGAAGAGCATTATATACCACACAGGCTAAATTCTTACATATATCAATTCTGACATTCTGTTCCTTCTTCTCACTTGAATAAAATGAACAGTCAGAACAGATAAAAGCTGCTAATATACATCTAGCTTACAAGCCTATTTATGGTAAATCAAAAAAAGCTACATCACTTTTTTCACCTTTGCCACTAGTATTAAATATTTTAATGAATGAACCAAAAAAACCCCATTAAAGTCTGAGTACGTATTCAAGTGCACTGAGCTATTTTTGGTTTTTTTTTTACAAGAACTATTTTGTGAAGACTCACCTTGTCATTCAGGGAAGCGTTTTCATCATTTTCTTCTGAGAAGACAAGATCTCCCTCAACAACTTTTGAGCCATAAATCTTCAGCCTATATGAAGCTGCTTCATTCCAAATTTTACTGCAATAAGCATGGACATAGAATATGCGCATGGAATGAGGAATATTGAGCCATCCTTTGGTACAACCTTCATGATTTACACCATAGCGATTTAAAGCTCGTAGCAACATCTTCTCTCTCACTTTAAATTCTGGCAGCATCATGAGTGCGCCCTTTGCATCTTCTAATATAAATAAAAATAATCATATAAGTAATCTCTGATCTTTCAAATATTACCTGTCAGGAAAAAATACACTTAAGAACATAAAATAATCAGGTAGGGAAAAATGGTGTCAGTCTAACCTCTTTATGCTGACTTTTAGGTTATTATTCCCTTTCCTTCAACGTATCATGTTAGACAAATTTCATCTTATATGCCTATCAACACAGTCCCATGAATTCTATTCTATTTCATGCAGTATAAACTAAACTAGCTGTCATTCAGTTAATACAGTTGAGTTTGCATTATGGGTTTTTTTTAGAAACTTAATTCATCACTCCGAAGATTTTTTTTAGATCAGGTAACTGAAAGTAAAAACCAAGCTATAAAAGAACATTAAACCTCTACTTCACAGCATTTGAGAAAATGTATTTCATGGGAGGTAAAAACCAGGTCTTTATTTTAAAGATACAAACTGCATTGGGCACTGGGAAGTCTGAGCCTCAACCAAGATGAAAATATATTTAATCAGATTTGTACTACATTATATAAATGTTTTATATTTACAATATTATGGTTTACATATTTTCTCATTGCAAGTGATTATCTGATGAAGCCTTTTGCATAGCTTTTTACCTTTTGCTTTCAGGAAGAGGCAAGCAGCTGTTTTCAGAGTCCACATCAATGTCTTTCCATGCATCATACAGCAATGTACAGCACAGAATGATTCATCTTATCTTTTTTGTGAAATGAAACATATCTGTGTCTCTTGAAGCTATCTATCATAGCTGTTCTGTCAATCTACAGTGATAAGCAAGCTGACAGATGTGGAATATTTGAAAAAAAAATAATTTGAAGTCGAGAACAGCTCCAAATTTTTAGTTTTGGAGAGAACGTTAAGTTGAATGATTAAAAAAAAAAAAAAGATGAACAGAGCATTTTACTCAGCACATTTCTGCCTTTGACATATTTTTTTGATTTTAGTTCAAGACAGAAAGAAGGTAGATCACAGGAAAGCATGGAAGAGAGACATAATTAGAGACACGTAAAAGCAAAGCCCAAAGGTGCAAAAACCAAGAGCTAAGACTGTTACAGAAATCTCAGAAAATTAGATGCCCACACGTGTTGAGTGCTGAGTATGAGTTGAGTGCTTCATTCCTGTATACTTCCTTTATTAGGGAGGAGAAGTTTATATTCCAAAAGCAGACAGATAGAAGCAGGCTTTGATAAAATTATCTTAGTCTTTTCCAGCACTATGTTATACTGCATTTGTTTCTATACTGTGTTGCACCTGAAGTACATTAGTTTTCCACTATTCTGCACATTTAGGGCCTCACCCTCATCTAATTTTTAACTGCAACTTCACCGAATTCTGCGGAACAAGCTATAAGTGGTATAAAGCAGCAGCAACAACTTACAACACTACAATCTCTGCGCAGCAACACCTTATTCCCTCACAATAGTTACCCTGAATAAATATAGAGACAATTTAACTGGACGTACCCGTTTGAAGAAAGTATCTTTTTGCATTGTTTACAGGGTCATCAGTATCTTCGGGTGTGAAGAATAACTTCACAGCTTTCACCTTTAAAAAACAATATTAATAATTTGTATTTTTTGCATTTAAATATAACTATTTGTCAACTAAACAGACAATCATGCATCCATTTCTGTGCTAACGTGTTCTGCAAGCTCTCAAAATTATTATCAGTTCTTTAAGGTCAAAGTCAAATCCTCCCTTTCACAGAAGATGTCATGAACAGCAAACCAATGTGGTTGTGTTCCTTCTCAGATTAAAGAAAGGTTTTAGTCACACAGAAGACAGCTTTCAAAGCTCTATGAGAAATAGGTCACTCTTCTTCAACATCCAGTTAGAACTCCTCCACTTTGTAATGCCATCATTCTATCCCCAACAGGAAGGTTCTTTCTTTCTCTCCTGCGTGTTTCATGCAACATTTAGACTGAACACTTTCCACAGTCTCATACAGAGGGACAACTATCTTTTTTTTTATACTGAACTGTATTAGGTTAGATGACACTGTGAGAGGGAAAACACTACACTAACTTCTGCTACTTGCAACACCAGTGAAGCCACACAATTTGCTAGCACTTACACCAACCTGTGACATCTGTTCTTGTCCTCCTCTATATTGGACTGTGCAAGCATGTACTGGCATATTTTTAGTATAAATAGTAGTTCCTACATATTTTAAATTAAAAAGTAACTGAGTTAAGACTAGAGATTTAAATCATTAATCTTCAGGGTCTGGCACCTGGTACCACCTGCTAGCATACTGGAATTCAAAATGTCAGATACATCAGCAGTAACTTCTATAGGCTGCCTTCAAATCTTAATTCCTTATATTTGGAGGATAAGTTTTCCTGACTTTTCTCAGAATCAAAACAAGATTAGAAGAAAAGGATACTCTTTTGACTTTGTAGTGTCTGATTCTGTTTTAGACCTCTGCCAAGTACTATACCATATAGATTGAAAAGTATATGACTCTTATCTTATGAATTATTACTTAAGAAATAAGCTCTCCTTAGCTTACATGGGAGCAATCACTCAGAACTAAGAGTGTGGGAAAGGAGCCAAGGAATAATGGAAAGCAGCAATCTCTTCTACATAGCAGATAAATTACTGTGGTATTGAAAAAGCAAAGCCTTTCATATGATCCTATGTAATATCTTGTGGCATTTTTAAGAAGTATATAGACCCCCAGCAGAATAAATAGGCTACAAGTTAGGAAGCAATCAGGACCATGAATAAATATTGTAAAAAGATTGCTTCATTTTAGTGTTCAAACCTTGCATGGAATGCGGCCACTTTCCTGCCAAGTGGCATGATGACTATAACAATCACATACCAATCATAGAGAGAAAAATCACTTCCTGAACTATTAAAGCTGCACCTGCTGTTTAAAAAAGATTTTTTGTTTCAGTATGAAGATCTTCATGTTTATGTTGTTGTCAAAACTGATCTGGCAATTACTTCCAGCACGCATATGGGTTTATCTCACAAATAAAATTGTTCACTGGGAGGGTCAACTCCAGTGCTAGACATTGCAACAGTAATGTGAAATTAACTTGACAGTAACTACTTAAATTACAAAATGAAAATACCATTTTTTCATTCAGTAAAGCCAATCCTATTTGATCTGTCTGAACATTTTGTCCTTGTCCAAATCGCTGAGGTCCGTAGTAATTTACAAAACCTTTTGTCTACAGATGAAGAATAAATACATTAAAAGCATGAAAGTACCAGGTGCAATTAGTAAGACTAAGCATACAACACATATACATCTACATTTACATCCAAAATGCATACAAACTGTTTAGTCAGAAGTAACATGTAACAATATCATAACTCATGATTCATTACAATATTTTAGCACCTAATTTAGAAACATTTAAAGAGACAACCAAGTTCTATCATCATCTTCACTTTCTATAATTATTATAAATACAACTACAGGTCAAGTTGAAGTAATTGAGCTTTTTATATGTGTCAAATTATGAAATTTCTACTCAAGCAAATGCAGCATAACACAGGTAATGAACAGTAACCACTGTTAGACATTTTTTCTTAAAAATACTAATCTTTTTCCACAGGAGATCATTTGTATTATTATTACAATAGTAAAAACCAAGAGTGAGCACTTCTGCTAATTGGGATTTTAAGTCTCCTGATGAGTTTGAGGTCAACTGTGGGCAGTAAAATCACAGCCATGTGACCCAATGAGAACATCCTGTTCTAGAAAATAGTAAGTATGCATGGAGTAGACAAGCGAAAAACATACGGCATTTGTTTTGGAAATGGTTATTCAGTTCAAATTATATAACTTTGCTTTGGACATCCATAGGTCCCATACATGATTTTGTTTTCATGGAAGATGAAAAATGCATATTTTGGATTAACACACATGCTGGTTTTCTCATTCATCATCTGACTAGTAAGCTAAATCTAATAAAGCAAGACACACAATCACAGGAATTTGTGTTCATTTTCCAAACAGCAAAACAACAAAAAAAAGCCAGATGGAGCAGAGAGAGAGAGAGAGAAAAGCATTAAAGTACCAGTTGAATGCTTTTTTCAATAAAAAAATTAATCTCCAAAATACTTGTAATGTATTTTGCTTTTGCACACTGGGTAGTTTTCATTCAAGTCTTTATTCCTGGATTAATCTTCTTAAAAGTAATTTGTATTATGGTTATTACTTAGAAAGATAGGGCAAGAAAATTACTGTTGTACAAAGCACCTGAAGTTTTTCCTTTCCCTGATTTGCTTTTACTTTTCTCAGTGGTTTAAGAATGTCTGATAATGGGGTTTTCTTCAGGAACTAAGGATAACAGCAATCAAAATCCACTGAATTTCAGGGAACCTTCCGTCTGTGCTGTGGACATTGCACATGTATTTAAGCCATGAAAGTTTTTCACCCGAGCGGATCATGCATGTTCCTCACATGACCAAAAATCGCAACCAGTTGACACATGTAACCATATTCTTTCACCCTGTCAACTGCTACAGCGAAACACATCGGCTGGCTTTACATCTGTGCAGCAATAGCTAATATATCCATACTCATTTGCTACCAAATTTCCCCATCTGTCTTGCTGCACCACTCTGGGGTCTGCAGTCTGCAGCACGGAATGAATTCACTTATGGTTCCTCCTTGGAAGGCAATTTTACTTCCTTAAGTAATGCAGGAAAGACATAAAATGGCAAAAAGCATCAAAACTGGGAAATAGTGCCATTATTGTGCTATTACAAGCATTTTCTTTAAAAGTACTTTTTTTTTTCCACAGCACAGAATTAAAACTCTGTTCATTACTGGCAAGCACGAGGCTTTCTTACCTCAACATTTTCCATTGCTTCAGATATTCTCTCTTTCAAATCTGCAGAAGAGTCATGACTGTGGTGTTTGAGATCTCTCACAACTATATCAAAGTGATTGCCCTTCAGCTGACCAAGTCTAAGGTGCTGGCATGCTGAATGTATGTTGTGTATTCTCATGCCCTTTTTTTCCATTTTGCTTCCAATTTCTTTCAACCTGCATAAATAATTGGAAGAAATTACAAACCACCCTCTACTAAAGCTATCCAACTTCTAATAAGTGTCTTCTTCACCTTTGCACTAGAATTAAAAACACTTAAAAAAATAAAAAGGAATTCAAAACAGATTATTGTGAGAAAATCAAATCAAATGCAGAGAAAGAAGTCTTAAAATTTAGTTATAGTCCAGAAATACTTTCAAAATGTTTGCTTCATTTGCACTTATATTATGTAGTTCGACAGATACTGGAATGAAGCAATTAATTGAACTTTCTCAAGGCAACTGCACTGAATTTTGCATGTTTTATTGAAAAACAAGTCATTTACTCTTCAGTCCTAAAATCTGCTTTTCATTTAAGAAAAAAAAAAAAAAGAAAAAGAAGAAGTAATGTGCTCTAGCAGACTGCAAAACACAATTGCTCTTTCTTGGTCAGCCTTAACAAAAACAAACTCAGCACATGGATTCTCTGGGTATGCTTGCACATGCTTGTAATTGGAAACACAGCTGACAGTTCAAGTATTTGCCCTTTAAAGTATCCACTCAATCTCTTTGTTCTTATGTGTAAGTAATAGTCATTCAAATCAAAGGAAACTTTCAGCATAAGAGCTTACCTTCTAAGCAATATTTTAATAACTTTATAAATTATTTATTTATAAAAATTACTTACTTCCCCCATTATGCTAGTGGGTTGGAAGCATTTAACTATTTTGCTTAATCATTTAAACATTAATACAATGTTTTGCTAATTACCTCTTGAACAACTGGCCTTACAGCCCAGTTTGCAGTGGAATTTCACTATTGATATATATTTTTGTTAGTAATAAATCTTAAAACCCTAAATTCTACTTTCCTTTATTTGCACAGTGTACTTCGTTGCTAAGACCAAAAGCCACAAGAAAGTTAAAGCTGAGGAAGAAATAAGTCATGGGTTTGACTCCAGCATTTTTACTGTTACTATGGCAGAATTTAATATGTATTTTTTACCCACTGAGCTGGCTACAGAGAGTAACAAAAATAAGGAATGGAAAGGCACATCTTGTATTATTGACACATTATTCAGAATGTATTTTCTGTCTCAGGTTCGGTGGTATCTTCTTTACTTAGTCTCATTTTTCTTAACTGGACAATACAACAGGAGTTTATACTTAACACTCAAAGACAGCATCTGTTCAAAGTATATTTGTAATGATTTACTTCAGTTTTGTACCCGTATAAAGCTTTTAAGTTGTTGTCTGCGGACCACAAGACAACACTTTGATAGTATGGGGAAACCTGTTGTGTCGTGTAGTATAGGCTTCTTCTTGGTTCCAGCTAGTAGATGGTATTTAAGAAATCGTACAGTGGATCCCATGAGCATGAACTGGACGGATACTGTCCCAGAAGATACAGTCTATTTGTATTATGACAAATACAGAGAAAGGTGTGACTTTTCTTCAAATTCCAACACTGGGGGACTTCAACGCTAAACTGTACATATACCCTAAAGCCACAAAATATGAAAGCCATTTCCACTGTGCTCTAATACAGGTGAAGGGCAGGCACATCAATATGAACATTTCAGAAGATTGTACCACGTTGACACTTATTAACATGTACAAATATGTGCTAAACTTAATGCACCCAGATTGTTCATACCTCTCAGGAGTCACCTTCTTCACAACCATAGGTTGGTAAGTGATAGCCTTCTTATCTTTGATGCCAGTGTAACTGAAGTCTGAAGGAAGAACACCAAGTTCAGCAGCCAAGAAGCCAATTGCTTCTAGTGTTTCTAGATTTTCTTTCTGAAGGGTGAAAGCTGAAACAATCATCTCAGAATTATTAGCAATTTGCACTTCTAAATCATACAGCTGTTCTGCCACGACAGATGGGCGGGTTCTTCCGCTCACACTATAACAGCATAGCAACTGCAATGAAATAGTCCTCCTACCCCACAAAACTAAAGGACATTGGACTTTTTCCATACTGAAAGAGAAAAATAAAGACACAGTAAACAAAACTCTTGAAACAACCAGAAAACCTTGCTGCCTTTAAAAACAGTACCTGATAAAATGCAACACATTTCCATGAACACATATTGACTTATTGCTAGAAACATTATATCAGAAACCAACTGCTTCAAGGAATGAGAATGTAAATCAAATTTGACCTTACTAACTTGTCCAACACCTAGATCCATCTTCTAAAATCCCCCAGTTACTTTCAAGGGAAAGCTAGCACACAGGGAATAACACAGTTAGTGCTACAGCCAAAAGAACTGTAACCATTATCACTGAACAGTTTATGTAAAATCACTGCAGTGACTTGATTCATCCATCTCATTCTCCAGTGATGTAACTGCATTGCATTAAAAATGATTTATTTCAGCATAAACAATGGGTCAACCAGGCCTATATATCATATAAAAATGATTCCGAATCTCAGTCTTAGTAAAGAATACCATAAGACCTGACACTTTCACTAAAAATGTAATATTTACCTGTGTAAAGATCTCGTTTTTCCTGGAAACCACCAGCAGACCTTTTTCTGGACCAACTTTTCTCTCGAAATCGTACCATTATTGACATATTTGGCTGATCATTGACATCTGTCACAGCAAAAGACTTTGTTTCTAACAGTTTCCCAAATCTTCTATTGATAAAGTGGTGAACTACCTTTCTGTGCTCTTTGTCTCCATCAGGCTCAAAAGAAAATGTAGAATTTTCTAGCTTTGCATCTAAAAATTTAAAGAAATCACTTGTTTCCTTTTCAGTCACTAACTGACAAAGTTCTCTGTAATCAGCGTTTCCTTTTACAATCATTTCATTGCCTTTTGTAACAGTGACTAGAAAGGGGAATTTCTGCCTAACGGCACTGTGTAAATCAGCTCGATTTTTCTTGTCCAGTACAGGCCCCAGCGAGAACTCCCTAGTGCCAGCATCGGCATCATTTTCCAAGTCCCACGCATCCTTCAGATCACCAGCAAATTTATAAAGCAGCTCACTCAAGGGTTCACCTAGTAAGGAATCCAATATACTGGCTTCCTCGAGGCCTGACTTCAGTTCGGGTTCATCCTCACGCTGTTTATTGTTAGGGGGTGGAAAACAGTCGCCTCCTTCCCGGCTTGGGCCACGCTCAGAAGGACTGGCTGCACCACCGCGGCCCTCGGCACACCGACCGGGAGGCTCCGTTCTCAGCTTTTTGGGGGGCTGCAGGCATGGGCTGCTTTGTTCTAGCGGCTCTTCACCGGTTTTCTGAGGCGATTCAGCCCGGGTATCGCTAAATAAGTGTTCAGGCACCTCGATTTCTGTCACTACGAAGTCACTCGGGGAGTTTTTGATGGTACCACAGAAGCCAGCGTGGTCAGTCAGGTAGCTGAAGGAACGAAGCATGGCTCCCCTGCCTTCCCCTCCTCCCGGCCAGAAACCACTACACCTGCAAGAGCAGAAAATTAAAAAAAAAAGGGGCGGGGGGAGAGAAAAAAAACATCAATGACTACGGGAAAGGCTGCCGAAAGGCGGGCAGGGCCGCCGGCACCGCTCCCGCCGCCGAACGGCCGTTACGGGCCGGTTCCACAGCGCGGCCACGCGGGGCGGGGCCCGCGCGCGCCCCCCGCCCCCGCAAGCCGCCGCCAGGGGGCGCCACGCCCCCCCACCCCACCCCCCCCTACGGGAGAGGGAGCCCAAGGACGATACCAACTTTTCCAGGCGCGCGGGGAAAGGAAGGAAGGCACCCCCTCCTCCCCCACTCCCGGCCAGCTATGGGGCGCGCCGGAGGGGGCGGGGCAGCTCGCGGGCAGCCTATGGGAAGGGCGCGCGGGAGGAGAGCGCTTCCTCGTTCCCCTCAGCGGGCCGCCGTCTGCCGTCAGGGGCTGAGTCCCGCCCTCTTAAAGGGGAAGTGATGCAGGGGGAGAAGCCTGACGGGAAGGGAGGAAGGGAGGAAGGGAGGGGCGGAGGGGCGGGGAGA